CTCCTGAAGGAGAAGGACGACATGCTCCAGGCGCTTGATGCGAAGGATAAGGAGCTGGAGCATGCGACTGCCGAGCTGGAGACGGCGAAGGAGCGCCTCAGCAATGGAGTCCTATTGGAGGAATCGTTTAGGCAACATCCTGACTTCGATGGATTTGCCAAAGACTTYTCTGACGCGGGCTTCAAGTTCTTCATGAAGGGCATTGCTTCCGACATGCCCGACCTTCAGATCGATCTCAGCGGTCTGAAAAGGAGGTATGCCGAGAAGTGGGCGTCTGGGCCTGGCGGCACCCCTGGCCCCCAAGCGTTGGTGGATCAGTACGTCAGAGATCTGGACTCATGAGTCATCTTGGAGCATCAATAGGAGTCCTCCACGTGTCCGGGGTATTTTCTTCCCCAAACAGACTTTTTGTTTTAAAAGAGTAACGTGGAAATTTTCAACTCTTACGAAAACTATGTTAAAATAATTTGCCTCGTTTTAGTTGAAAATGATTCAAGTACAATTATTTTTCTTTGAGAGGATAATTGAAGCACAATTATTAATTAGCCACATAATCTACCCCATTGAGCTTAACCTAGTGTAATAATGTATCTCAGTGTAACACTCTTTTGGTGTTAAAACCGCAGGAACATGCTCCAAATGGTGTCAAAGTAGTGTCTAAGGATTCCGAAGAGAATCCAAAAACACCGTCCACTCTCGTTGTGGTCATCATAGCTAAAACGATTCCTAAAATGCAAAAATGAACACAATATCACATAACCCGCCCATTTGAACTTAAAGAAGCTAAAATGATCCAAATACCACAAAACCGTCATCCCTCTTTAACTTAGCCTAGTTAAAATTAAAATGGTGCTTAAGCCATGATAACACACATCCACATTGTACTCAATCAAGTGAAAATCATACCCAACCAGCCCTTCATTCAACAAAACGTAGCTAAAGTGATTGGTAAGGTGCCTAAATGAACCCAACTAGCGTAAACTTTCACCCTCCCTTGACATCAACCAAGCTAAGAAAAGTTTTATAGTCCAGCTCCTAAGGGCCTCTTTAGTAACGTTCTCATTTCTTGTTCCTCGTTTCCAATTTTCTTAAGAAATCTAAGTATTTTACAACTAACTTTGTTTCTTGTTTTTTTTTTTTTGGAATATTCTCACAATTGTATAAAAATTTTGGGAATAATCAAAACAAGTTTCTATTTTCTTGTTTTCATTTCCAATTTGTTCTAAAACATAAATAAAAACATTGTTTTATCGTACTTGAATTCTTGAAGGTTGAAACCATAGAATACATTTTTCTTCATTAAAAATAAAGAAACAGAAACAATAAGAAATAGGAACGTTATCACACTACAAGAAACGGAGTTTTCAGCGACAAACTTTTAGAGACATATTAACAACAATGTCACTAAAATGAGCTTTCAGCGACATCATCAACATATGATGTCGCTGAATCTCCTTTTCAGCGACGTCATCAACTGTATGTCGCTGAAAGTCTATTTTAAGTGTCCTTTCAGCAACGACGTCAACTGACGGTGTCACTGAAAATAGACTTTCAGCGACACATAAGTGGGATTTGTCGCTGAAAATGTAATTTTATCCCAAATGAAACCCACTGTAGGATAGCTACTATAATTAATTGTAGGATAGCTATCAACATTTATGGGGTTCCATGTCAAAACCAAGTGACAATGAGAGCAGTAACTCATGATACGAGATCCTTAACATGCCTTTAAGATGGTCGTACCTCTTTTGGGTTCACGAATTTTGGTTGGGTCCTATTTTTTGGACCGCATGCTCGTTTAAGTTTTTTGAACTCTGATACCAAAATAAGAGGAATTCAAAATTTTCTGTCAAGTGGTCCAATTGCAACTCCTTTTCATTATATTGCGTCCACAGGGTAAAGAGCTTTCTCTTTGTACATAGGAAAAAATTCCATTAGGGTTTTGGCATTTACGATAGAATAATGAAATAAATAAAAAAGATGAAAAGGAGGTACAAAAGTAATAAATTCATTGTGGGCTACCATCACGTCCTTCCAATTCCAAAATATCATCTGGACTTGATTTCATCTCTGAATAGCCACATCAACCGAACATAGTTATGTGTCTAACATAAGTTTAACTCAACCTCGGATTAAAGAGGTCATGAATATGAATTCTGCATCCTAGTTGTGTATAAAAAATAATAATAAAATATAAAGAACTTATGTCAATTATTGGCCTTCGTTTGTAGTTGAAAATATAATTCGCGTGCAATTATTTAACTGTGATGGATAATTGACAATAATTAAAATATGTAAACCATTAACATTTTAAACGTGTTTTGGATTTTGCTAAAAGAAAAACTTGTTTTATACGGTTGGTCTAAGAATATTAAATTGTAAGATGCGTAGAAGATGTGTAGCTAGCCGAGGCAAGGTTAAATGTCAACGTTGAAAATTTGGAGGTCTCGATTTTATAAAAATTATCGATAGAAAGGTATATTTTAGAAAAATAACAAAAATGGTGAAAAATTGTAGAAATTATTTGAGCTAGTAAATGAATTTTAATGGTAACTTAATAATTATGCTATAATTGATCACTTTTAACCATCATATATAAAAATATGAGTAACTTATCTATGACAATATCGACGTCGATGGAAATGTCGAAACAAAACAATGAAGATGGATAATGGAAATTATTTCCATCAATTAAGCTTATCTGCTTTAATTCGTAATATGTTTTCAACATCTAAGTCAGAATTTGAATATTAAAAAACTTTTTTTCTTTTTTAATTTAGCTAAAAATTTAAATGGGTATTTAAAAAAAAATGACAAGCATTCCAAAGAAACTATGAGGAAGCAAGATAATTTCTAAACATATAAAACAAAAAATGAAATAATAGATATTAAACAGAGTCTAAAAATTACGTTTAGTCCTCCAAACTTTTATTTAATCTACGAGTAGGTCTAAATTAAGTCCATCGTAAAAGTAATTTGGACTAATCCTTTAATTGAAAATTTCACTAATAAATAATCTCATATCTACCAAAATAAGATCAACATGCTTACATGTGTCTTGTGTGTGTTAGAGTTCATGTTTGTACACAAGGTAATATTAATACAAAAACACGTCACCATATTAATTAATTACGATAACAAATTGAAAATTTATGACCCTTTGATAACGTTTTCGTTTCTTTTTTCTGTTTCATCATTTTTTTATAAAAAAAAAATAGAATTATACAACTCCCAACAACCCATGAATTTAATGATAATCAAATAATATTTATATTTATGTTTTTGTAACAAAATTAGAAACAAGAAAACATAATTAATTGCAAAATACTTTGGTTAATTTTATAAAATTATGTAATATTCAAAAAAAGAGTTGTCTTAAATCATAAACGATCATTCTAATTGTGTTACATTAATATATAAGAATAGAGGGTAAAGTTAGGAAGGTGAATAAATTAACAAAATTTTAATTTATTAATTGATAAACAAACATGTAAGTAGTAAACAATTACATCATTTAATATTAAAATGGCAATGAGAGGTAAGCTTATTTTAATATCCGATCGAGTTTGCGCGTACTTCAACTAATTTCAAGAAGCAATCGTTTGACTCTGCAAAATTGAAACCTATAGAAATTAATTGTTAAAATAGGTGAGCATCATGGAATTTGAACTCGTTCCCTCTCAATTAATCCTTAAAGAGTTAAACTGTGCAAATTGTAACTCCCACCCACCCACCAAGATTATGTTAAAGATCTCATATCCCTATTTCTCCAATTGTCGTTTTGAGATAGAATCCATAAATATTATTAGGTTACGTACACATTCTATAATTATAAATACCCAGTTGTTGAAACAAAGCATCAAAGTAACCCCAAAAGTTAAACATGGGAAAGTCTGTTTTGTGGTTGGCTTCTCTCCTCCTCCTGGTGGTGGCGGCAAGTGGTGTAGAAGAGCAATTATCTGAGCCCGGCGGGCTTAAACCAGTAGACATAAGTGACCCAAAATACCAAAGCCTGGCGAAAATTACAGTGGAGATACACAATTGGCAAGTAGGGTCTAATCTGCAGTTCCTGGAACTGGTGTGTGGATGGTCCAGAATTGTTCGAGGAATCAACTATCAGTTTTGCTTGAGGCTCATTGATAAGGACAATAATAATGCAGTGTTTCACTATAAAATTGACGTGACGCTAGACCCGAGCGCGAACATCTTCATCAATGACTTCCACCTCGTCCCCATCGACCTCGAGTGTTGCTTTGCCCGAGCAAATGGAAAAGCAAAAGCAAAAGCTTAGCTTCTTCCACATTTTCTCATATCTCTAATGAATAATGTTGGCTAGTGTTGTCTTGGTGTTTGCGTTCAGTTTGTGTTTGGTCTCCTTGTGTTATGTGTTATGGGGTTGATGTTGGAGAGATCTACTCCCGTCTATCTTTATGGAATAAAAATGCTATTTTGTGATGGGTATTTCTTTTTATTTTTGGAAGACGATGTCTTGCGCTTGTGGATCTTTATTATAATTGAAACACGTAGACTTCGAATATAAGACCTCATGATAGTTGGTAGGCGTTTTTGTTTCTTTCTTCCTTCTAAGGAAAAGAATATGGGAAAAATCAAGATTTTATGTTAGTTGTATCAATTTTTATCCTAAATTCTTAATTTCATCCATTTTGAATCTAAATTTAGATTATTGATACGAATTTTATCATTGATGTCTATTCCATTTTTCACTAATTCGCCTACTAATTTGACCAAAAAAGAATGTATTAACTCCAAGAACCCACCAATTTAACAAAATCAACTACTGTTAGACAAAATTAAGTTTGATATATTAATGCACAAATATCAATATTAATTAAATAAGTTTTTTAAAACTTAGACCAAAAAAAAGCAATACTGACGTTTTTTTCTTCATCCTATCGATTTCATATACCAAATATATCTTTCATGATTTATTGGATGCACGTGAGACTTTTATTCAACAACTTTTCAAACAAAAACTGTAGAAGGTAAAATAATTTACAATATTTTTTAAAGTTTAAGGTGTATATTGTAACACTTATCCAAATTTAGAGTGCAATCCAACGAAATTAAAAATTTGAGGTAGAAGTTTGATACACTGGCAATGTTGAAATTTATCTTTTTGAAAAAAAAATTTGTAGAAATTTCAAGTTTTTTTTCTCTCTTGGTAACATATTTTCTCCTCTAATTAAACTTTTGTCAATTCATTAAGTATCATATCACGTAAGTTTATCATCATTCAATTTTAACATATTCAAATGAACTAATTAAATTGAAAAAACACTCTAATATTAAGGGTTAAAATATATATTAGCCAAAAAATTATTTTAAGAATAACATTCAAACATATTTTGGAATGACCAATTTGATCAATAGCTTGTATGTTCAAAGAACTAGAAATATAAACGTCCTCAATTAATGGAGGTATTTTATCAACCGCGTTATTTCTGAAAAATATATAAGCAGAGAAGAGTTAGTGAGAATCAAATTAAATTAATAGGGGAGCCCTAATTCATAATTGATAATGGTCCAGAGACTTTAATTTAGGGTTGTTAGAGAAATAAAAATTATGAAGAGAAGATAAAAGTTTTAGAGGGAGATATAGAGAGAAAAGTTAGTGACAAAATTAAATTAATAGAGATAAAAGGAAAAAGATTTGAAAACACCTAAGTTAAAAAGCTAGAGATATGTTAGGGAGAAATATTTTTTAGAGAAAAGAGAAATAAAATGCAAACGGGATTTTAGATTTAAAAAAAAAAAAAAGTTTAGGGTGAAATGAGAAATTTTAGAGAGATAAAAAGATAAATAATTTTGAGAGTGAATTTAGATATATCCAAACTTTTAGATGTTAACGTGGATGGAAATGTCAAAATCTCTTGAATATTAATGAAAATCAAATGGGTTTAGTTCATACTTAATCTTATGGTGAGTTCTTTTTATTGGTCCACGTGTCACCACACAAATCATGTAAATTTTTTTATTAGTTTATGATTCAAATTGAAAAGATAAGTTTTAAATTTGAATAGAGACCACGTTTTAAAAAAAAATGGAATAGAGACCACTCAATCAATGTAAATTACAAAGATAGATAATAGAATAATACACGATCATAATTAATACCTAAATTGTAAAGACAATAATTGAATTTGAATAGGGACACCCATTAAAAAATACGACAAATCAATAATGGTAGTTGTAGATAATATTATGGTATATAATGAATAACCTAATCAATAATGTGAAAACATGGAAACAGGACACAACCATCTCAAGATACAGTGCGACCTATATTGTTAGGTACTATTCATTATGATCTCTATTCAAATTCGGTCATTTTCCTTACAATTTAGGTATTCATTATGATCGTGTACCACAATATTATCTACAGCTCACTACTGGTTTTTACCATTTCCATTGGTGGTGTGATCTGCATTCAAACCCAATTCGAGCATAAATTAATAGAAAAATAATTATATATCAATTGTGTCGTGAAAACTCGTACCCATTTTTTAGAAGAGCAATATCTCTCCGCTTTAAGATATCTGATATTTTAGGGACGTTGCAGGACATTTAAGACCCTTTTTTATTAAGAAAGAAAATAGAATAGATAAATAATTTTTTATGTGGGAGTAGACGATCGAACTCAAAACCTCTTGGTTGGAAACATACGTCAATTACTGAGCTATAACGAAAATCTTAAAAACAAATTTTTTAGGTTTTTTTCTATTTTTGGATTTTAAAAAATGATACAAAAATTTTGATAAATATACTATATCATGTTATAAACTAATTTAATTTTAACATTGTCCGCTTTGGGCATAGCCTGCACGGCTTTACTTTTGGTTTCACCCAAAAAGCCTCATACCAATGGAGATAATTGTCATCTCTTATATATCCATAATCATTTGGGACTTTGTTTACAATCACCTTACAAACCCAACATAATAGATTATAAATTAATCGATAATATTTTTTATTGAACTAAATATTCTAAATAATTTTTAAAAGTTGAGATTCAATCCAAATCTGCTACCAACCACATATTTGAAAACACTCTTAAATACAATATTTTCATATTTCTTTTTTCATATCACCAAACAAATGCACACTCCCTCCTACTGGAAACATGCAAAATTTAGAAAATTGAAGGGACAGAAAAAAAGAAAAAGTATATATATATCACAACTGGTTAAGGTATATATCTCGAACCTAAAGATTATGGGTTTAAACTTCTGCATCCATACATTGTTGTACACTCCCAACATTCTGATATAACATGCGGTATTTACTATAGTTTTTTAATGGTGTCTTATGCTATACTCAATTCTTAGATTATTTATTTAAAGGGATAGAAAGGTCCAACAAAAGAAAATACTGATGATGTAGGAGAAGATATTTAAGATACAAATATTAATTAAAAAATAAGATTCAATTGATAAAAGGGGAAAATGAAGAACAGTTGAAATTTCAAATTAGAATTCCTTTTTTAGGGCGTGGAAATTACTAACTCTCCACCCTAAGCATGAACTTGCAAAGACTCGACCAGGAACTTCCCTCGTAAAGTAACATCTTTTATAAGACTCGATTTTACTTGACAAGTGGAACTTAAAAAGAAACTAAAAAGAACTCACTCCCTTTTCATTCTTCCTTCTCCCCTTATTCCTCATTTTTCAATACTGAAGTCTCGCTCCCTCGAATGTTGGAGTATTGATAGACACATGCTTCAAGAGCTAAGTCGTCAAAGCAAGTATTGGGAAGCCAAGCAAATAAAATCTAGACTACAAGTCTTGAAAAGCTGGGAAATACATAACTTTTGTTATTTTTCACAATCAAAGGGTAAATAGGACTGCACGCACCTTGACTAATCACGACTCATCCCTGAACATAGGATGCAGCTCAAACAATAAAATTTTTATTTATATACTGTGCACAATCAAGTGTCTACAATATACATACATATCGAAACCATTAGAATACAACATTAAGAAGCAAAAAAGAAGGCCAAAAAAAAATATATATATATAAAGCCCATTATTAATGTAGTAAAAACATTTAATCAAAGTCATCATCTGGAGAGCTGGTTGAGCTTATATAATTGACAACCAAATTGGATTTCTAAAAAAGGGAAAAAACGACAAGATATTCATATAAGGCAACCCCTCCTTCTCTCATGGGCCTTTGGGTTCAAGGGCAGCAATTTCTCTAACAACATGAGCTTTGTCAGCCTCAAACTGTTCGTCCTCTGAAGTAAAAAGCAACACAAAAATGGTAGAAGAGAGAACAGAGCCAAGAGAATTTTAGTGAACATTGTAAAATGATTCAAAGATTACGTTGTACCTTTATCGGTTTTGAAATCAGCAAACAGCCTTAGAAGCTTGCTTCGGTTCGCGACGAGTATGCTAACGATGTCGGCAGGTTTGTTTTGATTCGCGACGAAAAGCTGTTCGAGATTTAGACACGGATTGAGTGGAAACCCCGGCACAAAATCATCATAAGGTTGATTTGAGAGACAAATTTGAGACCATTACCTTAAAAACATGAAATGCTTCTAACTGTATGGTCTTGCTCGACTCCTGCAAAGTAGAGAATTTACGAGTTTACACAGTTTTTCGCATATAAACATTGCTTAAGTGCTCCACCTGACTTAGAACATACGAAAACTGAGATCACACACATATATGAGCACGTTTCGAATGGGTAACGGAAATCTACTATCTGTGATGATGATGGGATAAGAAATTAAGAGGGACACAAGAGGGAAGAAGGAAATGAGAGGAGAGGCTAGTATTAAAAATTTAAAAGAGTTTATGAATAAGAAATATGAAACATAAGATCGTACGCTTACCCTAAGAAGATTCATAAGGATTCTCAAATTGTCCCTAGAGCTCACATAACGTGTCATCACAGCTGAATTTGACCTATCCAGTAGTATATCCCCCAACAGCTGAAACAAATATACAAATATATTGAGAAATTAATGTTGTTATCAGGGTTGTACACGGATTTGACAAAGATAAACATGACCTTCGCATATAAGTTACTATATGCTGAAAATTATGAAATTTTGCTGGAATGCAAAAATTGTGGCCTTGCTAATCTATACATGATAGCATTAAGCAACCAAGTTAAAAGACTTGCAATATGGTACTCTAGACTGAGATCGATCCAAAATAATACACATCACCAATTGGAAAACCATGTTGAGATGGGGGAGAGGTGATCAAGCACAAACAACACCAATATTTTTCCAAATGTCAAAATAAGTATTATCTTGAGTGGCATTCAACTCAATCAAATGCTTGCTTGCATATACACATTCCTTTCACATAAATCCGCATTTCAGAATCAGTGTTTTGCTTGTGAAAGAATTTAGTGTTCTAAGTAATCATACCTTTACAGCTTGCCTTCTAGTAATGTAATTAGTTGACTCGAGTAACTTTGAGTTGTACTCTGCGAAAAACTGAACCAGTGAAGAAGTCAGGCAGGCAGCCAATATTGAACACCAGTGGCACCAATGTATAAGATGTGCAGAGTTAATGTGGGGACTGCAGTATAAAAGATGAAGAAAACCATCCAGTATATAATAACCTAAAGACGACATAACTGAGAACCAAATTCCCGAGAAAATTTTAACCGAATTCCACAAACAAAAAAGAAGTGCACTGAATGAGAAAGGTGATAAGACTTTAGATCTCAACCCTCCAAAACTATGAAATAGATTAGCATTTTCTAATAAATTTCACTGGGATGAGCATTACACAGAGAGATTGTGTTGAATCATAAATGGAAACAGAATGACTAAAGCAGAAGACTAAGAGTAAAGCCATGATATGCTTCAAGGAAGAAAAGACACATTACCCAGTCATAATTCTTGGAAAGAAATTCAGCTACCGTAGACTTATGCCTAGTCAACAATTCCTGCAACAAAGTATTATATAGCATCACTATGACATTTCTTGCAGAGATGCAACACGTCTATGTATTGCCAAAAATAAAAATAAAACAAAGTTCAACTGTGGCGTATTTTCTTGAAAGGGAGAATAAATATTTTATTAACAACCAACATGTATCATCTGCATACTTTGCCTTCTTTCTTTTATTTTACATTATTTATTTGAAAGCAAGTAAGGATTTAGTAGTATAAAAAGAACATAAATGCACCAAGAGTGAGATGAAAGGAAGCAAGAAAAGAGAAGCATCTTTTATCGTTTGTTTTATGAATAAAACACGACCTTGAAAGTTGCAGCAGCATCTGCAGCAATGTCAAAATTTGGAAGTTGAATATAATCAAAAAACTTTATCATGTGCTGCGATTCCAAAACATACCTACAAAGAATTGAAAATCTTGTCATAACTTGAGGAGAATCAACATCTTTATCTCAAATGAAACTTGAAAGAATCTAAAAATTTCTTTCAGAAGTATGTTGACACTACTTTGACGAAAAAATGAGCGAACTTAAAAAAGAAAATGTACTTTTGAAGTCTAAATTGATGGCAAAACTTCTAAATTCTAATAGACTGTCATTGATAATAAACTGTGGGTTGATCTGTATATAAGAAAATATGATGATGTAGACTATATTGAATATATGGGATTATCATCATACCTTCACCTAAGATGATTGGTGCATTCATAAATTTTCAAAAGACTAGAGATACTACTGCATGTTAGTTCGAAAGACAAAAGCTAATACAGATTGGACTGCACTACTCAGCATCGTTTGTGAAGCTTGATACCTGATATAGCAAGCCCAAATTTCATTTTAATTATGCAGAAAGCACCCACTTATGAAATTTGTTTCAGATATGGCAATAAATATCATAATTTATCATTTCATGACCATAACAAACAAATAACACCAACTTACAAATAGAAATCTAAGTCAATATGGTACAGCATAATAGAAAGTCCTTCACACAAGAGTATTCGAATTAATCAATAGTAATAAGTAAGCTTACTTAGCAACACTTTGGTGACGTATGCATTCCCGCAGCATGGCACCATAGTGTAAAGCCATGTCTGTGTTTTCATAACTATAAAATGTAAAAAAGAAGAGAGAGACCATCATGAGATAATAACTAAAGCGAAGTTACTTTGAAAACTATAAAGTTAAAAAGAAGAGCATAAAATAAATTTGTATAGAAAAACACGCAAACAATAAAAGATGCAAAATGGGCTATTCATGTTATAATTCAATAAATAGAAAAATTACTTTCGATATTCGGTTCAAAATGGAAGAAAATACAATATTTACCAATCTCAACTTTCCCATAGAATCATGCAATCATTTAATTGATAATAGTATGCAAAAGCTCTTAAAAATTATGCATTCCTTGGATTGTGGTGCAAATAGGATAAGCTACTTTAGATGAATTCAGGGCAACAATTGTATATGAACCCGAAGACAACTAATCACAAAGGCTCGGTGATCAACAACAATACAAGAAGAAACCATATTGAACAAGAGGAGGGGGGGAAAATCAAGGACTGGTGTTTGGTTTATGAAAAACAACTATATACCCAAAAAAAATTAATCCACCCATTCCGATACTTTTACAGAGATGACCTAAATAATGAAATTCTAGATCTCTTACAAGTTAACTAATCTATGAGCAACTCTTTAGAGTAGAACCAATTAAGACTCAAGGCTGTAACATGTGACATTTCTTTTTTTCTTTTTTTTTCTCTTTTTTTTGTAAGAAACAAGTATTTCATTGATGATATAAAATATACAAAAAGGCTCCACAGGCTGGATTACAAAAAG